TGGAGCACCGAAAAGCTATTTCCGGTCGAGGAGGTCCGTATCGGGAGCCGCGTAGCTACGAAATGACCGACTTAAGGAAGTTTTACTGCGAGACAAACCGGAAGTGATTCGGCCGCGACCGAAACACTTCTTCCTCCACTGGCAGGGGAAGAAACTTTCTCTCCCTTCCACTTCTTCCTCTATGCCATCTGGTTCGTTCCTTTTTCGCCGGGATTACGGGACGGACATCCATTCTCGTTTAACGCCTTTATTTACCGTCCGTTGCTTTTCCTTTTACCCCTTCCATCTCTCTTCTTTCTTCCTTCTCTCTCTTTTCTACATGCTGTTGAACCGTTCGTTTTATACCAAAGGTACGAAGATGGTTGTACATTTCTCTTTCGCCTTCTTAGCTTTTCTTTCGTTCCTTGCTCCCGACTATTCTTCTTCCTCTTTCTGATTCTTCGTCTCTTGGTCTGATTCACGGTGCAAGATTATTGAAAAGTGTAGAGGTTTCCTGGTTGGCTGTCTTCTGGTTCGATGTTTATTCCTCTGGTTGTTTAATTATTTCACCGGTTGCAGGTGATTGTAGTGGATTCTGCGCTGAAGAGATTGGTCCTTGAGGTACTAGGGTTGATTGTTGATTTTAACCCCTTAACCTATGAGTTCTTTCTGACTATGCATCTAAGCGTCGGTCGTTCAGTGTTTTAATACTGTATCAGGTAAGAAAAGTTTGTCTGTCATAGATTAATGACATTTATACATCGTTCAGAATAAGAGTAACCTCGCTCTCGGACCGATTCTCGTCCGTTCTGCGCATAGACAGAGAGCGTAGCAGAGGGTAAGACGGAGAAAAACGTAGGCGGTTAAGTGGGGGTTTGGACGTTCTAGCCCTGCCTTAGCGAGGTTACTCTTATTTTGAACGATCTATAGTAATTCTCAGTGTTGCAATTTTTCTTATTAATGTAACTATTTTTGTCATATCTTGACTCGTTGTTGTGTATAGATTAAGGGGTTAATGGCTTTCTGGATTTTTCAGCTGGTTGGATGTTATAGTTGCACTCTTTTTACCCCAACTTTCCTACATTTACACTTCCCTTCTTACTGAGAAAGATAGCGAGAGCCAGTTGAATGTCAGTGATTTTTAGCAATTACACGAAACATCGACCGGTTAATTACAGACTTTTTGTCGCGGTGAAAACCACCAGGCAATCCTCAACTAAGTTTCCATTAATCGATCTCACCACCGGGGTTGGAAAAGCGGAATGAGGATCGAACCGAGGCATTATTATTCCCTGTTCGTCGCTTCCATCGCGTGCAGGCCTTAATGCATTCCCGCGTCTCGCGTAATTCCGTCGCGGAGGCCGCGGAACTTTGCCGGTTTCGTGGCATTGACTATCAGAAGTGGAAAACGTTCCCAGGACCAGGGTAAAGCCCGTCGAACGCGATCCACCGGGAACGCTCTAGCCAGGATTGCACCCGGAGGAGCTCATACGTTATTCGTCGCGCGCGCTCCGATCTCCTCCTTCTAACGGGTGTCCGCGAATAATCCACTAGGAGCGTGAGGAAACAACGACGGGACGTTGCGCAAGGAAGGATCAACGCCTCTTCGAGATTGGTTTCGTTTATTTGAGAGGAATACGGGTAGCTTGCGAGCTTTATTTTTCGAGAATTTGGTGTCTTTTCTGTTTTTACAAAATTGGCAATTTTGAAGATTCTGTTGTTTGTGTTCGTGATTAATTTGCATTGGAGAGAATAGACAACTGAGATGCTCTATTTTTCGGAAATAGAAAATTTTTTAAATTCTATCCCGGGAATTATAATTAATTTTCAGTGAAAAGTATCGATGGCACAAAAGCTCTATTTTTGGAAAATTGGGAATTTTGAAGATTCTGTTGTTTGTGTTCGTGAGTAATTTGCATTGGAGAGAATAGACATCTGAGAAGCTCTATTTCTGGGAAATAGAAAGGTTTTAATATTCTATCTTGGGGATTTTAATTAATTCGCGGTGGAAGGTATTGATGTCACAGAAATTCTTTTGCTAGCAAAAGACTTTTGCATATTAATAATTAATTTGCATTCGAGAGAGCTGACAACTGAGATGCTCTATTTCTGGAAAATTGGGGCATTATAGTTAATTTGTTTTATAATGAAATTCTGTTTTTAGAAAATTGGAAATTTTAAAGATTCTATCGTGCATATTCATAATTAATTTGCGTTCGAGAGAATGCATAACTGATACTCTATTTTTGCTAAATTGGAGATTTTAAAGATTCTATAATATGTGAAAAATGGAAGAAATTTTGATACTGTTTTTTTCTCAGAGATTCTCAGACTTTTTGTTTGTTGGAAACGCGATGTATCGTAGAGCACTGTATCGTAGAGCACTGTGTACGTGGCAACGTCAGTTTCTACCGCACTGGGAACAGAGCACAGTAGGAAAACGCTGTTTTGCTTCAAAATACCCGTCGACGTAACACATTGTACAGGCGTTTTGCTCTCAGATTCATCAATACGGCTACTTACTCCCGGCCATTAAACTTAATACCTCCTCAAGCATTCGCACACGCCATTTGTCTACGCTTCTTACACATAACCGAACCACCTTACCAACTCGGGCGCACGTGTCCTCCATTTTCTTGCACATTCTGTGCATGCCGTTTTGTTACTTGTGGAAACTCTTGAATCTACATAATTCGTATTATCGGGAATTCGTTGGGTATAGTGTCAACCATGTACAATTACTCCTGAGAGTTTTTCTGCATCTTATGAAAAAGTTACTTTTATCGTGCATTCTGTTTCTTCTTGTTCGCAAGAAATTGTTTTATTTGTTAAGTAATTTTCTCCCCTTCTAATTAAAATTTCCCTAAGCTGAACGAATACTTCTGTAAACGGTAAAGACTCGAAAAGTTTCGAAACTGCGGAAACTTAATTCTTCAAAAAAAAGAAGAAAATCACTTTATGAATTAATGTAAAATCACTTTTGCACTGATTCATATTTACATATTTCTATCGATAGCTAAAATTAGTGCAAAGGTGATTTTAAATTAATGAACGAAGTGATTTTTTTCAGTCTTGAAAAATTAAGTTTTGCAATTTAGCAATTTTATGATTGAAAGGACGATAATATACGCTAAATTAGAGAGCAGAATGGATCATTTGAGGCACACACGAAAATTTACCATTTTTCTCGCTACCTTCGAACGAAAATGGGAAATTTTCGCGCAGAGTTACAAAGACACCCCGGTACAATTTTTCAGAGCGACGGAAGACCGATCGATCCGCCCACAACGAGCTCTCGAACCCTAAATTTCACGGGACCGGATGGCACTAATCCCGCGGATCATCAGGGGAGACGTAGCCCTCCGCGGTGTCCATTTTTCCCCCAGGTCACCACCATTATGCGAGCAACCTTTTTCCTTGTTTTTCTTTTTTCTCTTTTTTTTTCTCTTTTTTTTTCAAACCTCCGTCGGGCTGGCATTTTTTTTTCCACCCCGCGTCTCTGCCGAAAAATCTATAAATCTGACGCCGCATACGTCAGGACCATTCGTCAGCGGGCAGATTGCGGGCAAACGGGGTTGAAGAGGCCGCGGCCGAGCTCCGTGCCACGCGCAATAAACCCGCGGCCGATTTTTACGATCGAGGCTGCATCGCATGACGAGGTAATTTACCTTCCGAGCTGGTTCTTGGCGCTTCGACTGCGAGTCCTTGCGAAAATTTTCACCGCAGTGCTAGGAATTAGGGTTTCCGAAGGGTGGTTTTCAGAATTGTCACGATAGTGAGGAATGTTACTTCTTTATTTCAGTATTAGCGGGGTCAGATGAGGTAATTTATTTTGCAAGTTGGTTTTGAGACCTCTGGTCACGAATTTTAGTGACAATTTTGACTACAGTGTATAAATTATGGCCTCTAGTGATGAATTAAAGGGTGAATTTCAGAATTGTCACGATAGTGGGGAATGTTACTTTTTTATTTCAGTATTAGTGGAGTCAGAAAGGAAGATTTACTTTGCAAGTTGATTTTGGGACCTCTGATCACGAATTTTAGTGACGATTTTGACTATAGTTATGAATTAATGAGTCAATTTCAGAATTGTGACGATAGTGACGAATATTATATTTTTATTTTATCATTGATGGAGTCAGAAAGGAAGATTTACTTTGCAAGTTGGTTTTGGGACCTCTGGTCACGAATTTTAGTGACAATTTTGACTGCAGTGTATAAATTATGGCCTCTAGTGATGAATTAAAGGGTGAATTTCAGAATTGTCACGATAGTGGGGAATGTTACTTTTTTATTTCAGTATTAGTGGAGTCAGAAAGGAAGATTTACTTTGCAAGTTGGTTTTGGGACCTCTGGTCACGAATTTTAGTGACGATTTTGACCATAGTTATGAATTAATGAGTCAATTTCAGAATTGTGACGATAGTGACGAATATTATATTTTTATTTTATCATTGATGGAGTCAGAAAGGAAGATTTACTTTGCAAGTTGGTTTTGGGACCTCTGGTCACGAATTTTAGTGACAATTTTGACTGCAGTGTATAAATTATGGCCTCTAGTGATGAATTAAAGGGTGAATTTCAGAATTGTGAGGATACTGGCGAATATTATATTTTCATTTTATTATCGATGAAGTCAGAAAGAAAGACAAGTTGATTGTAAGACCTCCGATCACGAGTTTTAAAGAAAATTGTGACTACAGTACATAAATTAAGATCTCCACAACAAGTAAAAGGGTGATTTTCAAAATATTATTGCCTAACTCCTTCATTCTCCAAATTAATCAAAGAATTCACTCATCCCCCATTTAACGAATGCAGAAACTGAACAGCTTCCTATCTTAATTAACGAAGAATTCAATGCTCGCACAAAAGACTGCTGTACAAATATCACGGACTCTCCAACAAATTCATTCACTCTCCTCAACATTCAAACACGAGAAAAACTGAGCTAACAAAACATTTTCATCTTATCGCTGAGAAATGAAGTTTAATCGAGACATATTTGAAAATATCCCCAGATTGGTGTCGTCGCCAGCGAGACAGAACGAGGCGGGCAGCAGCAGTAGCGGGGCGACGCAGCACGCCGCGACGTTCGCGGTGCGCGTAGGCACGATCGACGGCGTCGTGACGCACCATCTGCGTGCAGAGACGCGGAGGGACCTGGCTGCCTGGGCCAGAGCCATCGTTCAGGGCTGCCACGCGGCCGCTCACTCGTTACGCGAATATACTGTCCGTAAGTAACCCTTTTCCCCTGGAAAACTGCACTGCGTTTTTTAATTTTACTCTTCTCCTATCTTCATTCCTACCGAACGTGGTAATTGATGAACTTTATCTTCAATTTTACTCGATGCGGTAATTAATCTGCTTCTTACTTTATCCCTACTGCGTCCTTCGTTTCGACTTACTTAAGACTTTTGGGTCAAAAAGGACCTAAGACTTTATGTGAAACAATCTTTGTTCCCACGCGGCTTATGAACCTAGAGAATAAACGTTTAAAATAATGTTAAGGAACGTAAACCTGATAACGGCAAAAATTACTAAAAATATAAAAAGGCGGTGGGTCAGAAATGACCCGAAGACCGCTCTAGGGTTAATTCTACCGTGAGTCGAACAAGCAATGACATCTGAGGGCAGGCAGCGGCAAAATAGTCGCGGTCTTTTGTTTAGGGCGGGTCTCGCGAGCCGTAGACGACTCCTCTCCCTATTCCTGGGTCCTGCCCGCCAAACTCCTGTGGAGTACAGGAGGAGGTTGGGGAGATTAAGAGTGTATATGCAGGAGGCTGTATCCTCGCCTCACGCATATGATATGCATATATTCGCAGTTACGCGAGGCAAAGCACGGTAAAGGCAATGTGAAATAATTGATAGTGGGGGAACCGGAACACTGGTACTGGAAGTCGCGAAGCGACAGCGGGGAAGAAGTTGCCCGAGCCTGGTTTAGGGCCTGTGGCCGCGTGACTCGCCTAGATGAATTTAGTCTAAAGTCTCATAATGTAAAAGAATTGTTTAATAAATATAACAACAAAATATAACAGTAATTAACCCTTTGAGTGCTGAATACTCGCTGCCGAAGCTCTCCGTATGGACGGAATACTTTTTCGCTTGCGTGAACTCTGTTGATTGAGTGTAAATTAAACAACACACATGTATTCTTCATAGGTGGCTAAAGAACACTTGTATCCATCTCATATAAAGATTAAATTGTAACTATACTACATTGGAGATCGAAAAAATTGACAAACGCATATATGCGCCCATAGTCCACACCGATAACTTTCGCCGGACGCATATATGCGTCCATAGCACTGTGGCGGGTTCATAGGTGGCTAAAGAACACTTGTATCCATCTCATATAAAGATTAAATTGTAACTATACTACATGGGAGATCGAAAAAATTGACACACGCATATATGCGCCCATAGTCCACACCGATAACTTTCGCAGGACGCATATATGCGTCCATAGCACTGTGGCGGGTACGTCGTCGTCAACAAACCCTTACCGAACCTCGTTCTATTCTTCCACGCGAACTGTCTCCTTTCCAACTCCTTCAGATTTTAGTTTCCGTTCTTTTGTCTCTCCCCGGGTTAAGACTTGCCTTCGTCCTTGAGTGGCCTAAGAAGCGCACATGTGGCATCCAGGTTCGCACGAGGACGTTCCGTTTCCACCACTTTCTCCACTTCTATCTTTATCTATCGCTACTCCTGTCTCCCTGTCCTAACAATATAAAAACCCAGTACGCCTACACCTCTAGACAGTTTTTCCTTTACCGACCATCGCGACGTACCCGCCGAGCCGCTGCCGCCGGGACAATTAACAAAGTAAACGATTGTATTTTCTGGACCAATTGTACGCCGACCATACACTTATACTTTAATAAATTGAGGTGAAAACAGTGTAACGACGTTCCTCACCCACCTCACCACTCAAAAGGTTAATGGTAATTCCATTCCGATAGATATTCTGTCTCCAATATTAGTCAAACTTTTTGTCCTATTTTATCAGGAAAAGATAACAGAAAAGTGAGGAAAAACATTTGCATCCTTAAGAGTAGTATTTTTAACACTTTCGATACTAATTCGCTATAAAAATAGAGTGAAATTCAAACAACTTCGCTCGTTATACAAACACAATTCTCTTTAAAAAATAGTAGCTAACTTTTAGAAGTAAAAATATTTCCCAGCCAGAAGAGTATCCTCTTTATCACTTTCAAACTGTTACCCTGAATTCGGAAATTGGATCGTCGCGACGCGAAGTCGTTCGACAGACAATAATTATCAGAGAAGAAGCTGTGTTTCCATGGAAAAGATGGGAGACAATTAAGCGCTCCGTTTTGCTTCTTTATTTTTCGTCAACGGTGAAATAAGAAGGGGAGAGATGGCATGCATCTTCGCGGGGGAAAAAATGGGCGACCGGAAGTGAAGCGAGGATATATTCTCGGTTGTTCGCGTCGTCCCGTTTCGCTTCGATGAATTTTAATTTCTTTTCAGCGTGGACGAGCGGCAATAATAAATCGAGATTAATGCGCGATCGTTTCTGCTCGCCTTTTTTTCTCTTCCTCTTCGTTCGTCCAACTCGTCGATCATGAACACGTACAGTGTTCCAGCGAGGATTCCTCGGAGTTCCGTAGCGAGAAAGACGCGAGAAATATCGTCGAAATGGCCTATTCATTGTCCACTTTTATTCGACTTTCTTCCGAACTTTGTTTCTCTTCTCAATTTACGATCAATTTCGTGTTATCCTATTTGACTCGATTTTCCTTTCTTTCTTTTCAATCGATAACTTTTGTGTCCTTTAATTTAATCGAACATTTTTGTTCTCCGTTCATACTTGTCCTGTTGTTTAATATTATTTTCTAATTAGCGATCGATTTCTGTCCGGAGGAATTCATTTTAGATTCATAATTGTGATCGGGCGCTGTTTAATTCCCCATCCGTTTTATCGAAGAATTCACCGTTTTAATTCGCCATTCACTTCTGTTCTATAATTGAGCTTCATTTTGTCGAAAATTCATTCAGATTATTTCATCGAGAAATGCCTTTCTTAATTCGCCATCAATTACTTTCTATCGCGTCGAATAAAATTTCCGGCGAATCCCCATTCTTTGGTTCAATGGAGAATACTTAATTAATCCTTTCTTTTTGTTCAAATCGAATCTTTCGCTTTTCGAAAATTTTCGTAAAAGTGTATGCTGAAATTGCCGATCGATCGTGTCGAAATATGTTCCAAGTGCGAAGGGTTGACATTGATTACAATTTGAAAGTAAAACGGGACTGAATTGAATTAAATTAAATTTCAATTAAGGAGTTAAAAAATTTGTTTCAAATCAGTTCTTTTCGATTTTATGAGAAATTGAGATCAGTGGAACGGTATTGTTCGTTTGCTGGGAAATTAAATTCAATTTCAAATTTCCTGAAATTTAAATCGACGGAGTAGTTTTCCCGATTTCCAAAAATGAAAATCAGTGGAACAATTTTCTGAGACCAGTGAAACAGTATTTCCTGTGTATTCTGAGAAAGTAAATTAAATTTCCAATTTCCCGAAATTAATATCGACAGAATAGTTTTCTCCATTTCCCGAAACTTAGGTCAGTGGAACAATTTTCTCCATTTTGTCAGATATTAAATTAAATCTCAGAGTTCCCAAAATTAAAATTGATAGAATAGGTTTCTCAATTTTCCGAAATTAACATCAGTGGAACAGAATTGTCTATTTTCTGAGAAATTAAACTAAATTTTCAATTTCTCGAAATTAAAATCGACAGAATAGTTTTCCCGATTTCCCAAAATTAAGATCAGTGGCACAGTTTTCTCCATTTTCTAAGAAACTGAGATCAGTGGAACAATCTTTCCAATTTCCCAAAATTAAAATCAGTTAAAACAGTTTTTTCCATTTCCTGAGAAATTAAGATCAACAGAACAATTTTTCCAATTTCCCCAAAGTGGAACAAGTTTTCCAATTTCCCAAAATTAAAATCAGTGAAACAGCTTTCTCCATTGTCTGAGAAATTAAGATCAACAGAACAATTCTTCCAATTTCCCCCAAATTGAAATCAGTGGAACAATTTTCCAATTGCCCCAAAATTAAGGTGAGTACAAAAAATTTTCCCAAAATTAAAATCACAGAAATACTTTCGATCGACAAAAATCCCTCCATCTCCCTCTCCTCCTCGATTCAACAAAAATCTAATCAATAAACTCACTCTTGTGTCGTCTCCAGGGTGCACGTGGCAAGGAAAAGCTTGTCAACTTGTCGTCAACCACGAGGACGGTTTCGCGCTGTACGTAGCCGGTGCAAGAGGCGGAGGAGGGAACGGTGTCAGTCCAGGATCACCTCCTGCGCCCTTATGGAGAAGATCTTTCGACAAACTGAAAATGTCAGCGGACGACGGGGCGCGTTTACTGTGGCTCGACTTCGGCGGCGAGGATGGCGAGATTGTGAGTGATACCTGCTGGACAATTCCTCGATCGTGTTCAAAATCGAGACCGTGCTAACGATTATTCTTGAAAATTTCAACAGCCGATTAATTGTGCCGCAACAATTTGTCCATCTCTCTCTCTAAATAATCGATAGAATCGATAATTCTCTGCTGGAAAAATATATAAAGCTACTAAATTACCCATTAATCCGCAAAGTGTATTCTTCGAGGTTGAATTCAGACGAATAATAATTGGTCACGCAATTAGCGAATTATCGAACCACTTCTAAGATAATTCAAGTTACAAAGCTGTTCGCAGCTGGTTTACTCCTATTATTTCCAAGTTTGAACAGAGATGAAGAATAATTGCCACCCGAGTCGCTCAATTGCTCAACCCTTTCTTCCGAGTCACTTCAAAGAATGCACAATAATTCTACCGTCCAATTACTCCCTGTTAATGTAGAAGTTTCAACGGGTATCAAGAATAATTTGCACCTCGATCCGCGAATCGCTCCACCCTTTTTCTTCCCGTCGCTTCAAACGATACGCGATAATCCCACTGTCCGATTTCTCTCTATTACTCGATCAACCAAACCTCTCTGTCAAAGATATTCTTTAACCCTTAACTAGAAATGAAACCCCAACAATTAGTCCTTAAATCCTCTTAACCCCTCGACAGTTTGTCAAATATCTAACTATTTAACTCAAGGGAGACTCTCAGGAAGAAAGTTAGAAAGCGAAAGAGATATGAAACGAAAAATGATCACACACGGTATAACTGTTGTGTAGTGTCGGGGCCCCCATAGTCAAATAGGAAACCGACAGGGGAGAATAGAAAGGGAGCAGTTGGCGTAGCGCGCAAAGCCTCGGCTTGCTAAGCCTAAAAATTTTTTCACCGTAATTCATAGTTTTATTAGACTCAAAGTCAAAGGGTTAACATCTAGCCCTTTACTCCTCCAGTTCTACCAAATTTCCGCCGTGGCAAAAATGCAACAAAGAAAACTAGGGGAGAAAGAAAGAGGAGAAATTAGCTAGGAATATCTAGCTGGTACTGACGTGTTCGATAATACCGCGAATCTGGGAAATTCGCGGGATCGAAACGAGAAGAGAGGGGTCGCATTGTGCGCGAGAGGAAAGGAAGCGTCGTCCTTTCTTGCCCGGTCGAGTATTGAGAATTTTAATTGACTCCGCGTAGACTATCGAGATTATTATCTTCGACGAGCGTGGAAAGATTGAAAGATAGAGGGAACAGAGGAGATATCGTGAAAAAGAGGTCTGTGCACCGAGTAATCCCATTGTGCTCGTCACTTTCAAAGAGGGTAGCTGCACGATTCCACTGAAAAATACGTATTTTACATCTTTACCAAACACCGTCGTCCAGTTCTCTCTCTCTCTCTTTATACGTGTGTGTGTGTATCGATTCAATGGCCATTCATAACGCGACTCGGAGAGAGAAAAAGGGAGAGGGAGGAG